AAGAGGCCCCGAGAGGCCCCCAGGAAGCTCAAAAAGGTTCCCAAGAGGCTCCGACGAGGCCCCCAAGATGCTCCCAATATGCCCCCGAACTGCCCCCCAGAAGACCCCGAGAGCGCTGCTACTACCACTACTGGTACTGCTACGGGTCGTACTACTACTACTACTACTACTACTACTACTACTACTACTACTACTACTACTACTACTACTACTACTACTACTACTACTACTACTACTACTACTCTACTACTACTACTACTACTACTACTACTACTACTACTACTACTACTACTACTACTACTACTACTACTACTACTACTACTACTACTACTACTACTACTACTACTACTACTACTACTACTACTACTACTACTACTACTACTACTACTACTACTACTACTACTACTACTACTACTACTACTACTACTACTACTACTACTACTACTACTACTACTACTACTACTACTACTACGACTACTACTACTACTACTACTACTACTACTACTACTACTACGTACTACTACTACTACTACTACTACTACTACTACTACTACTACTACTACTACTACTACTACTACTACTACCTACTACTACTACGACTACTACTACTTACGACTACTACTACTACGACTACTACTACTACTACTACTACTACTACTACTACTACTACTACTACTACTACTACGCTACTACTACTACTACACTTGACTACTAACTACTACTTACTACTACTACTAACTACTACTACTACTACTATACTACTACTAACCACTACTACTACTACTACTAAACTACTACTCCCGACTCACTACTACTACTACTTACTACTACGACTACTACTACTACTACTACTACTACCACCACTACTACTACTACTACTACTGCTGCTGCTGCTGCTGCAATTATTATTACTACTACTACTAATACTACTACGCCTACTACTACTCCTACTACGACGACTACTACTACTACTACTGCTGCTGATGCTGCTGCTGATGCTGCTGATACTACTATACTACTATACGACTACTACTACTACTACTACTACTACTACTACTACTACTACTACTACTGATACTGAGACTGATACTAATACTACGATTCCTACTCTTACGACGACTACTACTACTACTACTACTACTACCACTACCACTACTACTACTACTACTACTACTACTACTACGACGGCTACTACTACGACTACTACTACGACTACTACTACGACTACTACTACTACTACTACTACTACGACTACTACTACTACTACTGCTACTGCTACTGCTACTGCTACTGCTACTACTACTGCTACTACTACTACTACGACTACTACTACGACTACTACTACGACTACTACTACTACTACTACTACTACGACTACTACTACTACGACTACTACTGCTACAACTACTACTACGTCTACTACTACTACTACTGATACTACTTCGACTAAAAATACTACGACTACGATTACGACTACTACTACTACGAAGACGACAAATTCTACTACTACTACTACTACTACTACTACTACTACGGCGACGACGACTACTACTACTACGGCTACTACTACTACTACTACTACTACTACGACTTCTACAACAACTACTACTACCACGATGACTACTACTACTACTGCTACTACTCCCCCCCCCCATCCTACTACTAGTACTTCTACTACGACTACCCCGGCTAATACTACTACTAGTCGTACCACGACTAGTACAGCTACTAGAAGTAGTAGTAGTAGTAGTACTACTACTGCTACTACTAGTCGTAGTAGTAGTAGTGGTCATACTCGTAGTAGCACTCGTAGTAGTGGTAGTAGTAGTAGTAGTAGTAGTAGTAGTAGT